TTGTCCTTTAATTGGAAAAACTCCCTCGTACCCTCACGGGTACGTAAAAAGGAGGTGTGACAATGTCTTGAGAAGGTTAGGTGTGGTTGATCAATAATCAACTTTATAACCTTTCTGTTTTTTCTTTTCTAGTGGCTTCCAAATTTGCAATAAATATTTTCAATTAGTTTGGAAAGCGGGAAGTATTTATTAAATGGATGACTGAATAAATAGTGCTAATATCTGGGAGTTGGATATGAATCAAGGTACATGTATTACCTTTGGTGATACGACAACATATTTTAATACTACAAGTGTGTCTTACTGGAATAGGGATTAATTGTTGATTTACTTTTCTGTCCCATAGGATATTCAATGAGTAATGGAGATAAAAGTTGGATGGGTCTTCGAAGATCCACTGATGAGTATATCCACGGAGTGAATAATTTTCGTGATAAGGCATGTGAACGAGCTTCCCAAGGAAATGAAATATTATGTCTTTGTAAAAAGTGCGCTAATTGTAGTTGCCATTATAGAAATATGGTGGAGGATCATCTGGTTGCTTATGGGTTTGTTCAAGAATACACCAAATGGATTTTTCATGGGGAAGGGTTTTCGAGAAATAATCCTCATCGAAACAGTGATGATGAAGGTTCTGATATGCATGATGATATTGATGGACTACTTCATGATACTTTTAGAAATGTTGAGGGTGACTTCAGATACGATGAAGGAGTGAGAGAGGGACCATCTGAAGATGCAAAGAGATTTTTCAAATTAGTGGAGGAAGGGAAACAAGAGTTATATTCGGGGTGTGAGAATTTCTCTAAATTGAGTTTTACCATTCGGTTGTACTTGTTAAAGTGCATTCATGGGTTGAGTAATGTGGCCTTCACAGATATTCTAGACTTACTGAAAGAGGCATTCCCATTTGCTCAGTTACCCGAGCCTTTTTATAAGGCGAAAAGTATGATAAAAGATTTGGGTCTTCATTATGAAAAAATACATGCAAATCCTAATGATTGCATGTATTTTGGAATGACAACGAGAAAGCGGAGAATTGTTCTGTGTGTGGGTCTTCGAGATGGAAGAATGTTATCAATCCCTTGACTAATGCAAGCTCTAAAGTCCCTGCAAAGGTTTTAAGATACTTTCCCTTAAAACTTAGGCTTAAGAGGATATTCATGTGTTCTGAAACAGCTGCAACTATGAGATGGCATGCTACTGAATGACCCAATGATGGAAATTTAAGACATCCTGCTGATGGTGAAGCTTGGAAAGATTTTGATTCCTTGCATGAAGACTTCTCTAGAGATCCTTGTAATGTTAGATTGGGTCTTTCAAGTGACGGTTTTAACCAATTTCGAACCATGAGCATTTCACATAGCACGTGGCCTGTTATGTTAATGAACTATAATTTATCACCATGGATTTGCATGAAGCCGGAGTACATAATATTATCTATGATCATTCTTAGTCTATCATCTCCGGGAAAGGATATAAATGTGTACCTACAACCACTAATTGCTGAATTGAAGGAACTATGAGAAATCAGGATGGAAACATATGATGCTGATTCTAATGAAACATTTCAAATGCGTGCAGCCTTATTGTGGACTGTTAGTGATTTTCCAGCACTAGAAATGCTTTCTAGATGGAGCACCAAGGGGAGATTGGCATGCCCAACTTGTAATCATGACACATGTTCTCAATATCTCAAACATAGTCGTAAGATGTGTTACATGGGTCATCGGGCATTTTTGCCTCCTGATCATCCATCTCGAAGAGATAAGAAATCATTTGATGGTAAGGAGAATAATAGAACAACACCTACTCCATTATCGGGTGTAGAAGCTTTGGAAGAGCTTCGTGAATTCAATAATATGTTTGGAAAGGGCCAAAAGAAGAGGCGTCGAGATAGTGGGGGTCCGTGGAAGAAGAAATCTATTTTTTTTGAATTGTCATATTGGGAACATAATAAATTGCGACACAATCTTGATGTGATGCGCATCGAGAAAAATATTTGTGACAATTTACTTGGGACTTTATTGGATATACCTAGAAAAACAAAGGATCATGTAAATTCTCGATATGACTTGCAAGAGATGGGAATACGGAAGGAGCTTCAACCAATAAAAGATAACAATGGAAAAGTTTATTTGGCTAAAGCTTGTTTCTCCATGAAGACAGAAAAGAAGAAGTTGTTTTGTAGTGTTTTAATACCAAAAGGATGTGCCTCAAAATATCACGATGTGTGCAAGTGGATGAGATGAAAATATCAGGGTACAAGAGCTATGATGCTCATTTTATAATGCATTACTTGCTCCAGGTTGCCGTCAGAAAAGTGTTGCCCAAGAATGTTTTTTTGGCCTTAATTAGGTTGGGGAACTTCTTTAGAGCCATATGTAGCAAAGTTATACGGCGAAGAGATATTGATACAATGTAGTTAGAAATAAATGAAATTGAATGTGACCTTGAAAAGATTTTTCCTCCAACCTTTTTGATATAATGGTACATTTGCCCATCCATTTAGTAAATGAGATAAAGCTTGGTGGTCCAGTGCATCTTCGTTGGATGTATCCCACAGAGAGAAACATGTGTAAGTATAAGGCATTTGTTCGTAATCGGTCTCATACGGAAGCATCAATTGCAGAGGGATTTTTAGCTGAAGAATGCTTGAACTTTTGTTCAAGATACCTACACAATGTGGTAAAAACAAGATTCAGTAGGTACCAATATGATAATGATGAGGGAATTGAAACAGAGGGAGATAATTTGTCACCTATATTTCCTAAGATAGGCCATCCAATTGAAAGTAAGAAGAAAAGAAAAGGCAAGGCTTTTTCTATGGATTTACAGTTATGTTTTGAAGCACATCGATATGTTCTGTTCAATACTGGAGATGAACAGGTGGAGAACTTTATCAAGTAAGATAAGATATTTAATTATCACTTGTATTTTAAACTTTATTAATTTACTTATATGTGATAGAAATATTTTGAACGTCATTCATAAAATTTAATTTGAAACATTTCATGCTTGCAGGGAACATAAGAGTTTAATTGATAATCATACTAGATCAAATGCATGGGTACGGGCACGGAATCACAACCAGGAATTTAGTAATTGGTTTAAAGAGAAATTTAAAACTATTGAAGTGCCAAATCATTTACGATGGCTAGCTAAAGGGCCTAATATGGTGGCAAAAAGATATACTGGATATTTCATCAATGGATACCAATTTCATACGATGGAACGGGATACCCGATTAAAGACTCAAAACTATGGTGTGACTTTATCAGCAACAACCGATAGTTTTGCTAGTGCTAGGGACCAAAATCCTATCTATGTAGGTTACCTATTATGGAGCTATTTAGGATATTATTGAGATTGATTATTGGGGTTGTTTTAGTGTTGTATTGTTTAGATGTGATTGGTTTCATAATGAAATAGATGGATATGGGTTAACTCGAGTGAATTTCAACAGATTATGCAGTACCGATGACCCTTTTGTATTGGCATCTCAAGTGCATCAAGTATTTTATGTGGAGGATTCAAATGATGAAAATATTTATTATGCAAGGACCAAAATCCCTGTTGATTAGGAGGAAGAAAATTGTCCAAATATTGGAGATACATTTTGGAGTGAGCTCGACGACGACATTGGTTCATCAAATAGATTACCCGATGGTGATGTCGTATGGTCGAGAGAAGATGTACCTAGTGATGTTGTTGATATGCCATTTCATACACAACCTTCACAAGATATGGAAACATCAGAAGAGGAAGATGATTTTGATGACACTGATTGGGATTGGATGGGTCCTGATTATTGAATATGGTAACATTAGAAGATTAATCTTTTGTATTTTTTTCTTTTTTTCTTTGTACCATTGCTTTGAAAGAGAATGGAAAAGAATGATACTTGATCTGATCTCCTTTTTTGGTTATTCTGTAATTCAATTTTTGTGGATTGTAAATTAATTGGTTTTTCCATGTCAATCATGATTAAATTCTGAAAAGTGTGATATATTATTGGAAACGTATGTTGGTGTCTTTACTTGTCATTGGTTGCCTTGGTACTCATGTCTCCGCTCCTCTCTTAGACCATCGTAATAACTTCTTATGCCTTCTTACCTTTTTTTCCCAGGGTATTGCAAATTAGTTACGTGAAGAGAATATTGCCGTCATTGAATTTGTTGGTATAGCTGAGAAAGATTGGAGGTAAGAGTAGTTTTCCCTTTTTTGAAATCTGATCACAATAGTATAAACTATTTGAAACAAAAAATGATTTGCTGGAACACCATCAAATACTTCAATATCTTCATTTCAAAGATGAAATAAACTTCTGAACTTCTGATTTCTATGGTGTCATTATCTCAAAGATAGTTCTGCCCTTGATAATTTTCATTTCCTCTTTACCACTGCTACTGATATCTTTATTTGCTTCAAAATTGTAGTCATGATTCAAGAAGGGACAAGACAAAAGAAAAAAGTGAAAATCTCGACATTCGTTCAAGCTGGAACACTTACATCTTTGGCAAATTAGAAAAGGTTGATGCGGACCAGAAAAATGAATATTCCAGCTAGCTCTATACGGTTAAATGAAGAGCGTCAGGTTCTGAATAATTTAATGGAAGAACATCAACTACCAATGCCACAACATCAGAGGGTAGGAGCCCATTTACAAAGTGATTCAACCACCCTTACAACACAATCAGTAGAGCAAGAAGTGCAATTGGATGCTAATACTCCTACAGTAGATGAACAAGGTAAGTAAATTTAGATTTTACATTAAAGTATTGACATCCTATATCTATTTTACTAAATTGGAGGATACTTTTGATTTGTATTATTGTAGGATCTTGTACTAAAAAAAGAAAAAGAGGTAAAACAAGGATTCTAAATGTACATGGAAGGAGTGAACGTAAGTTAATTTTGGTCAATGAGTTTGGTCAACCTGTTGGTCCTACTAAAGATGTTGTGATGGGGTTTAGCAGCTTCCTCGGTACATTGGCAAATAATTCGACCTTTTGTCCTCTTGATATATTTGATTGGAGGAAAATTGACACAAAAGATGATTTGTGGGAATATACAAAGGTTCTCAGTTCTCAATTTTATTTTTGGTTGAACATGCTTAATATTTTTGCACTAACCCATTGAAACAATTTGTAGAAAAAATATAATATTTCTAAAATTGCAAAAAAAGTGGACTCTAGATGCAATTCAAGGTGCTTGGAGAAGGTATAAGAGTCAATTGAAAAAAGATCACTTTAAAGCATATCATAATGATGAAATTCGAATGGAAAAAAAGCCTGAAAATATTCCAGCATATCAATTTAAGGAACTTCTCAAATATTGGAACTCTGATAAACACAAGGTATGTTTTTGAGAAACAGTTTTATTTATGTTAACCTTTGTCAAGAAATATTCATGAAGGAAAAACAATTATTTTCCTTTTATGATAGTTTCGAATTGAAATTTATTATTTTACTTGCAGAAAATGTCAGCAACTAATATTGAGAATCGAAAAAAGTTAAAGGATCCATACACTGCTAGCAAAAAAAGCTTTGCTATAGTACGCAATGATTTGGTATCTGCTCTTATTTATCATTAAATATGAACTTGTTATCATTTTTAAGAAGATATTTTATACTACTTTTAATGTGTCCAGGAAAAAGAGAAAGAAACTTCTGATCCACTATCACTTAAGGATATCTTTGTTGCTACAAGACAAAGAAAACCCGGTCGAACATACAAGGAATCGAATGAAGATACAACTAGAAAAATTGTGCGAATTCTTTATGTTTCTATTTTGTTTGGATGAAAAATATGTTCATATTGACTTTTTCTTTATTGGAATTCTCTTTTTTTTTTATTTGTATAATAGGCTGAAATGGAGAGTATTGAAACGCAACAAAGTGAAAATAGTGATGAGTCAATTAATGCATTTGCATCAATCATGGGACCCGAACATCCGGGACATTTGAGATTGTATGGGCGGAGGGTTACAAAAACCTCTTTAAAAGGGAAAGTGGGACATTTTGAACCCTCTTCAAATACAACAAATGATCACATGCAAAAGATGGAAGAGAGGATGATAAGATTGGAGGAAAAAATTGAGGAACAGAAGGAACAATATGAGGAACAAAAGACAATGATGAGACAAGAAATTGTAGAAGATATCATAACAAAACTTCAACGTTCTGGATTACCAATTGATGCTAATATTTTAGCAACATTGTATTCTCGTCCATTGGGTGAAGCTTCCTCAACACAAGCAGCAACTATTCACCTAATTCATCGACCATCTCTTGGTAGCAACAATCAAGGTTAGAATCCTCGCAATCCTATAATTGATGCTTCTAATTTTTAGATTGTACAGTTAGAAATTTGCATTTTTAATTAATCTTGAATTTAAAGTGATGGGTGCTCTAAGTGTATGAGCTCGATTAACTACTGTCATTGGAGCTTTTGTCGATCTGCTGAAATAGTCGAATTTTGCTATTTTTTCTTTGCGCCTGGTGATGCATTCTGCCTCATAACTGTTCAGATTTGCCTGAAAAAGCACCTGTCCAGCTCTTTCTTCCACACCTACCTATTGCACAACAATAGCTATAGGAGCTGCTGGTTTTTCAGCAGTTGTTTATGCATAGTACTTATGCACAACCTACTCCAGATTTGCCTGGAAAAGAACTTGTCATGCTCTTTCTTCCACACCTACCTGTTGCACAACAGTAGCTATAGGAGCTGCTGGTTTTTCAGCAGCTGCTTGTGTATCTTTCTTATGCACAACCAGCTCACTTCCACCCTTCAAAAGAGCTGTTTGTGTACTAGTAGTGGGCTGATCAGTAGTGAGATGAATAGCATGTTTAGCTACTGCCATTTGATCACATTCCTGTCCAGCTTATTTCCTTCCTGTTGCCTCGCAATTCTAGCCTGCACCATAGACTATTTCCTTAAAGTTGCAGAATTGCCCAGCTTCAACTTGTGCAATGTTAAGTGTATTTGATTCACCTCCAAAGCAACAATATTGGCAGGCACCTGCTCACCAGATTTACCAGTTGCTAACAAAGCAACAACTTGATAATTTGATCCCCCAGTAGCCAAGTCCTGCTCCTTTTGTTCAACAGTTGTAGTATAGACCTTATTCACATTCACCTCTCCATCAGTTACATAGTAGAACCCTCACCTTGGGCACCAATCCTATCCACAGTAGTCCTTCTCCTTTGTTGAACCTGCCTCCAATACATGTGAAGCCCTGCCTGTTCCAACATCAACCAATCTCCCGTATATTTAGCAAGCTCCAAATTTTATTGTTTCTTTGCATTCAAAACATCCCTGGCATCACCTTGTAATTTTTCTACAGGTTGAACATCTTCCTCGACCTCGTCACTAACACATTGATTTGATGCTACTGTTTTTCTTTGTAACCTACGACAATATATCTCCTCATGACCTTTGCGCTTACAATGGCAACAATATGATGGGACTGTTGGCACTTACAATGGTCTTGGTGCTTACCACACACACATTTACTATTATTATTGATGTGATCTTATAAATTTTTTACTTCAAAAACTAGTCATCTAAAAGTAGTTACAATAGTAAATAGATGAAGTGTTGGTTGCGGATAACCTCAATTTTCTTGTTGAAGTACTGGTTGAATATGCTTATTTTTTTTCCTTACCCTCTAAATATTGTTATGTCTTTTGAATTTGTAGGTGAAGAAAATGAATAAAAGGGAGATGAAAGTAGTGAAGACCTTACTTAAAGAGTATTGGTTGATCTATACCTTCAGATGTTTTGGGACTGTACTTATTTTTGAATATTTTGCAAACTTATATGCAATCTAACTCTTGAATTGTTAGTCACTATTCTCTTATATTTGGATAATACTAGTTGGATATTTTTTATGATGATTTTGTGGATAAATATAGTTTCCTTTAATGGTTTGTATATATTCTAGCATATTATAATTTACTCCATTACAATAGCTCGTAAAAATTATTGCAATAGTTTGTAATAAATGTTGTAATAGCTCGAAAAATCGTTGCAATAGTTGAAATGACTGTTACACTAGCTTGTATTGACCATTGCAATAAATAATAATAATCATTGCAATAAATAAGCTAAATTATATCAACAAACTGTTCCAGTAGGTCTATTCCATCGCTTTTGCACCGTTACAATAGTCGTATTGCAACGGTTCATACTCGTCGCGATAGCTTTTAATAATCGTTGTATTAGGCTACTGTAAGACCGTTATGATAGATACAGCTATGACCACGGCTCCGAAACCGTCGCAAAAAACCGCTGCAACAGACCAATTGCAACGGAGCCCAATCCGTCGCAATAGGAATATTGCAACGGTTTTTCTATTTTTGGCAACGGTTTTATCGGTGTTGCCATAGGCCATTTTTCTTGTAGTGTGGATGTGACGAGAAGAATTTTCTTGGGGCATAAAGGACTATAGATGATTGATTTCTATCTTGATGTGTTGTATATTCTCGAGTTATGAGTGTGTTGAGGGATCTTTCAACTGTTCATTTGTAGAATGAAGTAGATTCTTATGTCTTGTTGACGAGTTGAAACTCAAGAAGATTTAGTGATTGCATAGTGGTTGTGTCACGCCTCGATGGCGGGGAGCGCGACCAATGCTCAACTGAGATATCCCGGTTAAGCAAGCCTGCTAGATGTCTTCTACCCAACCTTGCCCATTAACAATATAAGAAACAATACAAGTAATAGGCAAGAGAAGAGTCAAGTGTTCCACATTCTAATTCCATTACTCAAAGGATATTCATTTATGCTTTTCAAAATATTACAAGTTTATAGATATGATGAAAAATATGTTTTCCAAATATCAACACTTACTAGTTTAATTTCCAACATCAAACACTATCCACAACCTGTCTACGGAGCCTCTAAGTACAACAAAGAGTAGTATGAAAGTATCGGCGACAAGCCCCCGGCTATACCTCAAAGCACAAAATACAACGTTAAATGACATAAAGCTTAGAACAGAGTAGGGCTCACCAAAACCTGTTTAGTAAAGACTAACTGCTAATGAGGATCAAGGCTGCCCGTTGACGAACAATGTGCATCCATTGAAGATGCAGCACCCCTAGCAAAAAGGACATTAGTACATATGGAATAATACTAGTATGTAAGACTAAACACCCTCTCAATAGAATGAGCAACAGTAAAATAAGAAGAAAACATGGAATCAATGAGAACCTCAAATAATATTATAGTACGAAGTTAGAAGAAAGATAGATCTCAAGTAAATTTCATTTTTTTAAGTTGGGAGGTCTTTAGTACCGATACACCATCGTGCTTTTAGCATGGAGTCCGGAATCAGCCCGATCGGCTAAGCCGTCTCACCTCGAGACATCCACTCACAACACTATCGTGCTTTTAGCATGGAGTCCGATCTTAGCCCAAGACGAGCACTCACAACACCACCATGCTTTTAGCACAGAGTCCGATCTCAGCCTGATCGGCTAAGACATTTCACACTGAGACGTCCAGTCATGAAACCACCGTGCTTTTATCACAGAGTCCGATCACAGCCCGATCGGCTAAGCTGTCTCACCATAATGCCATGTGGGTCAACGTCACCTCACATCCCCCTAGCAATCATTTCATCCCATTTAAGGGGAATTATCAACACATCAATCTCATCCTATATTGGGGGAAAAATCTCAATACCTCACACGGGGATTTTACCCATACTAACTCCTACACTGGCACGTGTAGTTTTGGGGTTAGGTTATTTCAACCTGCCCTTCCCTGGTGACTAAACGACACTCCCAAAGCATTTATTATTTAAAGTATTTACAACTTATTTCATAATCTTTCACATACCTTTCCATTTTATTGGCACCAGTCTCAACAACTGTAATATAATTCTCGACACGTCGACTACATTTCATATTTCATACTTTCATTTCTTTACTTTCAAGGATCATCATCATAAACATCAACACATAGAATATTTCGAAAATCACAACTTTAGGTTCATTAGTAATGAAGGCTTTAAGCACAACAAATTCCTTCCCAAAGAATGAAGCGAACTGACTAGCATTTGAAGCACGAGTTAAAATCATAAACGAGTGATACACCATTTAACCTCGAAATACTCTTTCCCAAAAGGGCAGCACATAATTTCAACTCATGAATATGTAAGAACTCAAATCACATTGGAAATATTTATAAAGGAGAGCATGGTGCCATGGCCACGTGTTATATCTTACTCTCACTTCTTTCACTTCCAAGCATTTTTAAGCTAAGCATAATAGACCCTCATTTGAAACACTAATTGAAGTCATAATATTTCAATACATAAACCATACTTGAACATATTCTCGTAGAGGTCATAATATGATAGGAAAAATTGGAACACTTTTTGAGCGTAGGTATCTTTCAACACAACACTTACTCAGAATACTCAAATTTATTAGGAACAACTCGGAACATGGGATTTAGGAACTTGGGTCGACCATAATTGAAACTTACGAGAACATCACAAAATTCGACTCTAAGCTAGAAGTTTAGCCAACATACCTTTCTTGAGCTTTACTTAGATTACTACAACATCCCACACTCCTAGCAACCTCAATTTATAGAAACATAACCAAATTTAACCATAGTTAGGAAGGTGTTCTCAGATTTAGCCCATTCTGACATTACATCAAACACCTAATATGCGAAATCGATTACAAGGTCCCATAACAAAAATTCCTCTACCCTCACTATGAATTTTCAATCAGCCAACCAATATAAATATCCCTACAACACCCATCAACCATCATTGGTCACATGCATGCCCAACCATTTGCTTCAAACCCACAAAAATCACATTTCCTAGCCTTCACATACTCTCAAATTCGAGATTAAGGGCTTATGGCTTCTGGTCATCATCCCACAATTCCCACCATGATAAAATACTTCCTAAACCCATTATTAAACATTGTATTAAACCTAGGGATGAAGTCTTACCTTTTAAGTAGAAGGTCTTGTGAGTTATCCTCTTGAATTCCTAAAATTTGAGAAAGAATTGAAGAGTATATTTTGATAGAGCTTCCCACCCTCTCTCTCTCTAAATTGATACCCTCACTCTAAGACATCAAGTTATATCTTATGAAATTCCCCCCTAAGGCCTCATACCAAAATACGGTTGGATAAGAAAATTTCCAAAAATAACCCCCGAAGTCAATTATGTGGTGCAATTACATGGTAGAAAAATGGATATGTGGCCAACAGAACGGATATGTGGCCAGTAGAATGTCCACAAAATGGTATGTCCATTTCGCTATAGTAGAATTATTATGTGGCCAACAACATGGCCACAAAATGATTTTCAAATTCGGGGTTGGGTCTGGTCCATTTCGCGATAGCATAATCATTATGCAGCCAACATGATCATTATGTGGCGTGCAAAAATAGTTTTCAAAATTTGAGTTGCTTCTGGTTCATTATGTGTCATTTCGTGCTCAGCGGAACAGATCCGCTATAACATAATCGACCACAGAATCGCCATTTTCTGCAAATTCTTCTACCAACTCCACTATGTATTGTACAACCCGAAAAGTCTGTACCACGGCTCGTTTTCTACAATCTTGGAACACATTAGCCTACCTCGGTACCACGAAATCTCGGGTTCTATATAACATTTTATGAGGCCTTACATTCTTCCCGCTTAGGATCGTTCATCCTCGAATGAGGAGTAGAGTCCATCCAAAACACCCAACATAATTCATCTCTTCTTTCACACATCACAAGCCCCCAAATTTGACTAACTCCCAAATACTTCAGAATTTTAGTAGAGTTTCCCCTAAATCTGGGCCTAACCACCTGCCAGAGTAACACCAAAACCACCCTGAAAACACATACATAAGTCAACAAAGCATCACAATATATATCAACAACACTAATATTAACATTAAAAGCATTACATTAACCAAAGTGGTAACCTGACATGAACTGTATATATTTTTAAGTCATAACACATAGAAAATACCTTTCGAACCACAACCATTTGGCTATACAAACAAGTGAGAATATCTTCTTTCCACAACACTCTCGGCCTTCAAGTTGACCTCCTCGACTCACAGACTTGGCCATAGCACTTTGACGTAGGCAATCTCAACTTCTGGACTTATCTAACAAGGATGACAATTAGGTACCTCTCATAAGCCAATTACCCATTAACTTCACCTTCCATAGCTTCCACCGGAACAATAGACAAATGATTCCCAACTACCTTCTCGGACATAGACACATGAAACACAAGGTGCATGGAGAATAATGATGGGGGGCATCATACACATAGCTCGGCCTATTTCCCTCAAGATTCTATAAGGCCCAATGTGTACTGCACCTACTTTACCTTTATTAACAATTCACATAATATCTTCATGGAGAAAGTCTTGAGAATAACATGTTCACTTTATTCAACTCTAAATCTCTATGTTGGACACCCAAATTAAACCCTTGGCGACCTTCAGCCATTATTCTATGATGGGCTAGAATGAATATGACCATTGAGATCCTACCTAATGTGTTCGATCATGGAATGATGTTTCTTCTTTGACATGTTTTAACGTACAACTCTTGATAGATTTACTACAAATAGGAACAACGAGGTTCGAGATTAGGCTGGAGTTGTTCAAGAATCCATCAATGTACTGAAAAGAGCATTTCAGGAGGTTATATCCTAAGACACATGAAGGTTACTACTAATAACGCTGACATGGTTAATCATTATAATAACTTCATTCGTTATAAAGGTTATAATGAGTAATATGATGCTCTGGGGAGAAAGACAAATAACTCCTATCCACCCAGGGATGTGGAACATTAAGGATAGTAAACTCTCCGCACATGACAATGACATAGTCAATGATTCTAGAAGCCGAGTGTTTAAAGGT